TGAGTTAAAGGTCATTTTTATTCTTGAATTGTATATAAAAGGTTACAAATATTTCTAAACTCAATTATGAGTCAATTAAGTCTTTTAATTTTAAAAATTCCTTCCATCATCACCTTGACATTAAAAATACTTAACGTTCGTCAGTTATTAGTGAGTCTCACTATTTTTTTAATATTTTTATTAAATTAAGGGTCATTTTTGCCCTCAACTTCTATTTAAGTGGTCATTTTTACTTCTCAACTCAAATATTTTATAATAAAAAATATTAAAAATATATAATATAGAACTCACTAGCTTCCAACCAGCAGTAAGAAAATGACAAGATGATAAAAAAAAAATTTTAAAGTTAAAAAATAAAATTGATACATAATTAATTTTAAGAATATTTATAACCTTTAGTGCATAGTTCAAAAACAAAAATAAGCATTAATGCTAAATTATTCTGTTATGTAAGAATAGTGTAATTCATTGTTATGGTGATTTTGTAAGATACATTTGTAAAAAGTTGTCATAAAATTTCTTTCATTAGGGAGGATAACTTGAGTCCAGAGGATCCGAATCTTTCACTAAAAATATGTGAGCGGTGAGCAATATAGCAATAGAATACTGTAAATTAAATGAACTATAGAATTCGTTCCATAACGTGAAAATGAATTCTCTTAACTTTTTTCTTGATAAAAATATAACTTCGTTTTAATAATTTTTTTACTTTCTAATGGATGGATTATGTTCTAGTTCTTTTCATTAAAAAAAAAAGGTTAAATAACACACAACTACCCTAAACCTTAAAAACTTAATAACAAACTTCTTTAAACTTCCAGGTATATACAAATAATTCATAACCATTAATTATATATCCACTTAAATTTTATTTTTTGTACATTTAAAACTCCAAATTTTGATTGACATACATATAACCTCCTTAAATTTTAATTTATATGTAGATAATTAATATATAAAATTAATCATATTAAATTATGTGAATAAATATAAAAGTTGAAAGGAGTTTATTATAAAGTTTCAAAGGTTAATAAGGTTATGTATATATAGTTCAAAATTCTGGGAAGCAATATATAATTTAGCCTAAAAAAATAATAAGTTATACAATTATTATTTTCTCTCTACATTCAAGAAATTCCTTCTTTCATTGCCACACAATATAACGAGTATTCCATAATTTACAAGCTACTATACACAAATTAACAGAATCTAATATGTGTGGTTGTCCACTCTCATACAAACTAAAAATTCTGAGATCAAATAAACTGGTTAAAGAATTAAGAAAGCACTTGGTCAAGATTAAGAAAACAGGGGGAGAATATGGGGGGGGGGAATTCACCAATAACTGAATCCCAAGCTAAAACGCACATACTAGTATGCCATCTGCTAAGCGAATAATGAGAAGAATTATATTGTATAACTAACTTGATAAGTAAAATGTAGTTTTTTTTAAAGAGAGAATTTGGATTTATAAGTACAGAACGATCAATGACCAAAAAAAAAATATGATATGGGTGATGTATGTAGAAGAAAAAAATAATGGGATCCTGAACAAAGCAAAAGGTTCATATCAATGTAACTGTGTAGAAGTTGAATGATCAGAAGGACCAACTGGAGCGAAGCATTAAACCAGCTATTTTAGAATTCCCAGCAGCCACATAAGCAAAGCCTGGCTTCAAGCAGAATTTATAACCCAAGTTAAATTTCAGATAGGATTCAGCCTGAAAGAGATCCCCAGTTGTTGAATCTCCAATAATCCCATTGAGGCTCATTCCCCAGCCAAATGAATCTTCAGAGACGTCAGACATGCTCACGCCCCACTTAAGATTCGATTCGTTCATCTCAACCCAACCTCCAATTTTTGTGATGTCATCAAGTTCTGACTCCAATGTCAGGGCACTTGATCGAGTGGAAAGACATGTCTTTGATTCCGACCATGGAAATGTTTCATAGATAGTTTCAGGTACCTCTGGTCGTTTTGATGTGAGTATTGGAATTGTAAGAGCTCCAAGTTTTGATGGTTCAGTTGATGAAAGAGGAACTCGGTAGAGCCCCATAACAGACAGCTTCGTTCCTCTAGGAAGTTGACATGACAGTTCAGCGAAAGTGCTGGACCAATTCTTAGGTGCATCATAACCTGATTGCATTCCTAGCCCGGATACAAACTGAGCCAGTGAAGCAACAATATTTGATTTTCTCACCATCATGCTGATGGCACTACCGTTCTGCAGATTCAGCAGCGGTGGTACGACAGAGGAAACGTCTGTAAGGCCCTTTCCGTGCTTGAAGCACAGAAACACATGATGCAATTAGGGCCCTATAAACAAGTGATAACCAAAACAAAATAAAATAAAAATGGAATTTTTCAGTATATACTTTCACTCTAAGCAATTTTTCAGTATACATATGTATACAAACTTTTCAATATATATTGGGGTCAGAGAAGAAAAATCAGGAGAAAGAACGTATGATTTTACAGTCATGTCCATCAAAGAGGGCAATATATTTACAGCTCAGATGCTGATGGTTTCAGATTAAATTTAATCAAAAGGCAAGGCAAACCATCTATTTATCTAGATGCTCATATATCATTTTTGGCACAATATAATGATTTTCGTTCCAGCAGTAACAAGATCTCAAAGTGAACATTACCAAATCATCAAAGAAACAAATAACATTCTGAAGTACCTGGTGGAAAGATTTTGAAGCAATTGCAGCATCTTTGCATTGAGCTCCCATAGGGATAGCCATCACAGATAACCAATCACTAACTTTTGCAATATAACAAAGTTTTGCCAGAGAAAGTGTGCTTCCCAGGACATCAGTGTGATGTTCCATACCTTTCTGACTGGTCACAAACTCTGCAACAAGAGTATCCTTATCCCTGATGTTTGTTTCAAAAATTAACGTTGATTCAACTCCAGTCCTTAATCCAGCTCTACTTATTACATCTAAATTCTGCTCATTAATATCATTCATCAACAACAAAGCCCCCAAGAGATCCACTCGTCCTCTTACATGGGTGGTAGCTTCTTGAAATGGACCTCCAGTCGAGGGTTTATAGAAGGAAAGTACTCTCTCAACCTTGTCTTGTCTTTCCCTGAGTTTCATAAGATCCGAAAATGCTTCTCTCTGTAAACGTTTTAGGATTTCAATCTGAAATTATTATTGCGCACACATTTGTCAAACATACCATAAAGAAACCATTACCTAAGGAACACCTAGTTCATCGATCATATATACATCGGCAATGGGATAAAAATAAATCTTTATTGACAAACAAGTTAACAAACCAGGGGAACATAAAGCTCCAATGATTTGTCAAGTTGTGAGTTTGAAATCTTCATGTAATGAGCGTAAAAATGTGTACATTTTCTGAAATCGTAAGAAATACTATAAACGCCTTGATTCGAACCTACAGCCAATCAAAGCTAATGAATGTACTCAGGAAAATAAACAGAACATCAGTAGACAGAGAAGATACAAACCAGTAAGGTGCATGGAAATCAATAAAACAGGGGTAAGATTGTTCAGCATCCATTCTAAGCTTGGCAGTAAACAAAAATGATGTCAAACATCAAATTGAGTGCGGGATAATTCTTACCGCTCTCACTAGTACCTTCCACTTTTGCAACGTACCCTAAATTTTCAAAAGGCGCTGAAATGGACTGCAGTTTTATTCCTCAATAGAACCAACAGAAAATCCTCTTATTGCAACAAATTAACATCTAAATATATAAGAATGGTCTATATTATTCAAAATGCGATAAACAGCGCCGCCGAGATCAACATTGCGTTCGATGAACACATGCAGAATCAGACATGAAAGTTTGAAGCGGGAAACATACCGGATTGCGAGAAGCAGAGTTTCGGCCGCGGATGAGGCCGGTGAAGAATTCATGGCTTGATTTGGTAAAACCTTTCAATTTGTCGATAACAGAACCAAGAGGATCCATTGCTACCACAAAACCTAACAATGAAAGAACTCTGACTGGGACTACCCTTACAGATACTGAAACCTGTGGGAATTTCCAAGAGTTGATGCTAGTCTGAAGAAGTCTATCACGCCCTATGCCTTCACCTTGAAACCAGCATGCTCCAACACCGCCTTATCGTTTGTTCCAAGGACATCATCACACAAAACATACACGGGCAATACTGGAAGAGACGACGCTCAGGAGGTATAGCCGAACAGTTGCATGACTGTGGAGGACTGAGGGTGGAGGTGGAGATTAGGTCTGGCTTTCCACCATTCACTAAACGCACAGCATCACCGAAAGATTGGGAAAAACAGCGGAAACACGCAGGTCAAGCTAACAACTAATTTAAATTAAGTTTGAAGTATCAAACCTTATAAATTTATAAATTTAATTTTTAATTGTATAATTTTATTATAATAAATTTATAATTTATATTTTAAATTTTAATTAAAAAAATAAATTTATTTATTGTAATAAATTAAAAATTTAAAAAAATAAATGTTTAAAGTTTGGTATTTAAAAGTTGATTTGAATTAATTAATTTTCTTAAGATTCATATGTTATTTTTACTCGGGAGAAACTTCTGAAAAAATTCTTTGGTTATTACATACATGGCTTTGATAGGATATTAACTAACCCCCCCCCCCAAAGTTAAAGTATATTTTTTATGTAGTTAACTAAGGCTTTGATAGGATATATTTTTATATTTTTTAATATTTAAAAGTTAAAAGTAAAAATTTTTTGGGATGAAACTAACAATATTAAGGTTAAATGATTAAAAATATATTTTATAAAATTAAGAGATCAAAATAAAATCTCATACCAGATTAAAAGAATAAATATATATTTTAACTTTTTTTTAATATTATCTCTATTTAAATTTATTAATTATGAATGAGAATGTAGTACAAATTTTTTTCATTTAAATAGATGTGAAATTAAAATTTTATTTTATTTTTTTAAAAAGTTAATGATTTAACTATTTTTTATTGATTCTAGTGAGATAATTAAAGATGTCTTCTAATAGAAGCTAAAAAAAGTCTTTACTTATTGGAAACATTAATGGGTACTCATATATCATTATTAGCTTAAATAATGGGTACCCATACATTATTTTTAACTTCAAGATATCATAAACTTTTAGAAAAAAAATTGTATATTTTTGTACTTTATATTTGCTTCCTTTCATTTAATGATCAACATCAACTAATGTTAGGCAAATTTAGTAGGATGGGAAATGATGTCCTTACTAAAAAAAAATTCATGAATATTTATGAATCATAGTTGATTTAAGGATATTGGACTCTGACAATTTTTTTTTGTGAAATATTTATATCCTTTAACCTAATTTTTTTATTTTTTATTGTATGCTTTAAATTCAATGTTCTTTTGCCTATAAAACCGTTAATCATGTATGAAACTGTTAAGCGTGAGATGACAGACAATTGGGCAAAACTTATCGACATAGAATAGGCATCCAGTTAGAAAATTAAAGCCACGTCTGAAAAAGAAACAGAGCTACAGAACTTACCAGCTCTTTCAAATTAAGCAATTATTTTAAAAAAAATTATAGCAGTGTTATGTTATATGGAAAAAAAAAAATAACAATTTCTTAAATGGGCCAACTAAAATGCTGTCAAATATACGAATCCATGCGTGCTATCTGAACAACTCGATTTTACATAACCCTGGGCACCACACCTCTGAGGCAATAGAAACACATAAATCTACTTTGCATCTCAGAACAAAAATGGCAACAAATTTAAGATATGTTTGATTTTTGTTCTCATTTTTTTAAAAAAAATGTTTTGAGATACAGTTTTCAAAATTAATTTTTTAAAATAAAATAAAATAAAATTTTTTTAGTTATATTAAGTTAAAAATAATTTTAGAATTCAAAAATAGACTAATAATGATAGTTATAAACTTATAATTGATTAATAACGGTGATTTATGATAAAAACTGATTAAAATAATTATATTTTTTAATTATTAAATGTAGTTAATTTTAAAAATGAGAAAAATAAAATAAAAATAATTTGATGTTGTTTCTATTTTTAAAAAAATAATTAAAAAAAGTTTTTGAAAACAATGAAATTCAAAATACTTATCTAAATAAATTTTTAAATTTTTTTTTTTTTAAAAATAAACAATAATTTTTAAAAACTAAAAACAAATAGCTTTTGGAACTGTTTGGTTTCTGTTCTCATTTTTATTTTTAAAAACTGTATTATAATGCAATTTTTAAAATTGTTTTTAAAACAAAATAAAATGAAAATTTATTTGATTATGTCAATTAAAAATCAGTTTTAGAATTAAAAAATAGATTGATAATAATGGTTATAGATAGTTAATGGTGGTGATTAATAATAGAAATTGATCAAAATAATTATAATTTTCAATAATCAAATTTAGTATATTTTATTTTTATTTTTAAAAATAAAAATAGATATAGTTTTAAAAGAAATTAAATAAAAATACTTATCCAAATAAATTTTTAAATTTTTCTAGTTTTAAAAAAAATAATTTTTAAAAATAGGAAACAAATAGACCTTTTACATTTCATTCTTCTAGTTTCGAATCATAAAATATTGGCAAAATTAAATCCATGAAAATTTGGATTCAAGCAAAGGAGGATCCTCCGGTAGTGACAAAATTAAGACGCATGCAGGGTCATTGCCTCCCATTCTTTAAAAGGAAAATGACATTAAAAATGATCTTGAAATACACAGATGATAATGAGATTATGTGAAATTTGATAATTCTTGTAAAGCCCTTTTGGAACCTTTTTGACATTAATATATTTTATGAAATGACAATAAAGTCTCCAATTCAAAATAAAAAATAAATAAATATATTGGCGATTAAAAAAAATTGTAGAGAGAAACTTGTTATTTTCTATCTCGTTCCAATCATTGACAAAAAAAAAGCCATTACTTAAATTAAAGTAATCAATGATAGGGAAAATGTTATTCAAGGACCACTAAGAAGACTTAATATCAATTAATGTCTAAAATATTTTGATTTATAATTGCAGGACCAAGAGATTGAAATGTAATTAAAATTTATGGTGAAAAGACAAAATTATTCCTAGGAGCTTCACTTCTAAAAGGACAATTAGTTTAAATTAATTTTTTAAAGCAATCAAGGGGAGATTTGATTTCATGACTCCTTGACCACTTAAAAAATTTAGTAGCCACCAAGTTACAAAACTCATTTAAACTTATATGGTGAAAAAATATATGCCCAGCAAACTAAACTTTTAAACTACTTCTATATTATAATATAATGATGTGTTATTAATTTTTGAATGACATTTGTTATTTTGCTAATGTTACTAGTTAGTATGATATGATTAATTACAAATTGAGAGTTTTAAAAATTCATGTATGTTGCAAGTTATCATTTATTAATTGACATTTAAATGTCATTAAAATAACATGTTCACATAAGTAATAAATTAGTCCCAAACTACTTGTTTCTTATAACATAGAGGTGTGTTATTAATTCCAAATTTATTTTTTTTATCTTGTTAAAACTTAAATGAGTTGTTATCAAAACTCAAATAATACTTATTAATTCATAAAACAACACTTGTTATTTTATTAATATTACTTCTGTTGTTATTTGTTGATCATGAATGGATTGTTGTCAAAACTTGAATAGCTTGTTGTTTATACAAGGTGCACACTTGTTCCATTAAACATGCGCTATCAGTCATGAATAACAATTATCTATTCAGGTTTCGAAAAAAAATTCGTTTGAAATTTAAAACAATCCATTTAGGCTTTAATAAGTTAAAAAAACTAATAAAATAGGCTTAATTGTATGAGTATTAGTCCTTTATCAACAAGTATTCATTCAAGTTTTAATAACAATTCGTTTAAAATTAACAACAATTTATTCAGGCCTTAACAAGTTAAAAAAATTGATAGCTTAGGTCTAATAAAATGAGTATTTACCTTGCATAAATAATAAACTTGAGTTACCACATTTTTTGGAGTTATATATGATTAAATGGGTTTAGTGGCTTCTGGCCGAAGCTCTAACTGCCATTGGTGGTGTTTTAGTGTCTGGTGACAATGGTTTTTTTAATTTTAATTGCATTTTAATCCCTTGGTTCTACATTAATATTTTATAATCTTTTAATTCTTAATTGATATTAAATTTCTTCAATGGTTCTTGAATGATATTTTCTCTTATTGATATTTACAACACTTAAACTTAGTGATTAAAAAACTATAAATAAAAAGTTGTAATTACTTATTCCATTTTAATCATTATTAGAAGAAAAGTAATAATCACTTAAACACAAGTAGTCATTAATATTTACAATACTTGAACTTTAATGATTACAAATTTTGTAGAGCAAAACTTGTCATTTGCTATCTCGTTTTAGTTATTACCAAAAATAGATAGTTATTACTTAAATTGATAACTAATATTTTAAATTAAGATTATTATAGTATTTCACAAAAGAAATTAATATCACAAAGGTTTTAATAAACTTGAGAAGAATTATTACATTGGATAGGACCTTCTTGTTATTTACATATTTTATGAGGATTTTTCTTTCATTTTTCCTTTTTGAAGTATTCTTTAAAATATTTTTTTTAAAAAAAAAGAATGTTGAAATCAATTTTAGCCTCGACTTTTAAATTAATCTATAGTTCTGCCCCTCTGATGATTTTTGGATTGGGAGAATGACATTTAAAGTCCTTTTAAGGAAATTTATCCTAATAAAGACCCATCAGCTTTCGTAAGATAATATCTAATATTGGCGTTATTGCAATTTTTTTTTTTTTTTAGAGATCTTAAATATCATCCTCCCTTCTGGTCCCATTCATGATCCACCCAGAAATGCAAGTGAGTGCTCGCCGGACTACTTTCAGCGTAGGCATGGAGCTGTCAGCCCAGCATTCACGACAACATTTAAGTTATTATCTAACATTTTTAAAATTGTTTTTCAAATACTTTATAATTACAAAAAAATTATTATATAACATTTTAAGGTTATAGAATTATTTTAAAAATATTAATTATGATACATATTAAAAAGATAAATTAATTATAAATATTATTTTTCAAAACGCCCCACACTTGATAAGCTCGTTACGCCCCTGCCCATATCCAGAGAGATAGAGCCTGCAAATTTCCCCTTTAAAAAAGGTGCATGGTGATTGGTGCACAGTTGTGACACTAAGCTACTGGCTTGTAAGAACTATGTTTGAAATCTTTGATAAATAATATCTATACAATGCATAACTTTACATGTATTGGCCACCAAAAAGTACTTCCATAATTCTAGAAAATTGATCACTGAGGAAGACCAAGGCTGGATCCCTTAAGTGACTTTTACGTGAGGAAGGAGGACAGTGAAATGGTGGATCCTACTTCTAATCATGCAAGTCCCACAAAAACAGAGCTATCTCTTCATCAATTCTCTCTCTCTCACAACTTAAAGCATCACTTTATGAGATCCAAATCTGAGGAAAACCACACTGGACAAAAGAAATAAATCTCAGTATCACATTCCAAACCAATCATCTTGAACAGAGTTTTGGTAAGTATCTTGAGTTGTTCATGATATGACATCCAGACTTCATTACGCTTTGCATTACATGCAAATCCCCCTCAGGCTTCAACTCATCGCCATCGTCTGCAGTTCTTGTTTCAGAATCCTCTTTAGCATCTGTGTTCTTAAAGCTTCTACGAAACAGTGAGTCAAGAAAGTATTTCAGATGATCATTCTCTTGGAGCAAGTTTTTTATTCTGCTTTGTGTATGAGCATGACTTCTGGGTTTTGCTTGTGCAGGAAATACCAAGTTTCTTGTAAGATTCCTCAAAAGTTGAGCTGACAGCTTCTCATGATTCAGTGCACAGCAGATACTAATCTTTTCCTTTTCAGTTAGCCCTGCGTGAACCTGTGGATATGCGTGTGTGTGTGTCAATGAAATCCTCAAATATGAAAGAAAATTGATAAACAACTAGAGTAACAAGGCAAGCTTTCCCATATACTGTGCGGAGTCTAAAATTAGGTCCCATTCAAGATAATTAATTACTCACAGCTCCATTGACAATTAAGCTTAGAAGAATGACAATACAATGAACCTGGAGTTAATTAATTGTCTTAAGTGGGACTCATGCATAATTCTTCCAAAAATAAATTATATTATTCATGACTTATAAATAATACGACTTGATATAAATTTTATCATATATATTAATATTGATATCTAACGAATAGTTAGAGGCTTTAAAGCGCTCACTCCCTAAAAGGAATTTTCTAGCACGCTGGATTATTCATCAAATATAAAGGAAATCAAGTTGATCGAGAAGATACTTATTAGTTAGAAGTGAGCTAACTATGTTGAAGAGTGCATGTCATATCTATATATTTCTTTTCAGTTTGATGTGATCTATTTGTCTTTGGTAGACTAAATCTACCTAAAATATTTTCAAATAGACAAGATTTAGGTTTAATTCCAAATGAATTTATCAAAAATTGTCCAATGAAAACATAACATATGACCAATCAACTAATTAAACATTAAACAAAATATTCACAAGTGATGATTCTATTGCAACTGGTTTCATTCCCATTATAGAAAACAGTATTGCAGAATGGAAATTAGTAAAGACAACAAAACAATTTAAAAAAAAAATTACCCCTAACCTAGCCCTTTTCTTTAGGGAAGAGAGACACAAACACTCACGCATGCACACTAACCATGTCAACACCAGGTTTGAACTTAGGACCTCTTTCAAGAGAGGGAGGTAGTGTTGCCGCTAGGATAATTGACTGTTGACAAAACAATTTTTTTTTTTTTAATATACATGGATGTATATATGGATAACATGTTGACTCCTTATAAACCAAGCAAATTAAAATAAGTTTACCTTCAGATAAATGTCCATGGCTAGGTATAACAGATCATGAGATTCTCTTGCAGCATCTGGGAGAACTGTAATTAATTCTGCAAATTCAGATGGTTGGAGATGGCAATCCGGAGAAACTTCAATCAGAAATGAGTCCATTGTTTTCGCCACTCTCTTAAGTCTAGCCAAAGATATCCCAAAATCGCCTTCGTTGACAAATACTTGTGCAAGCCTCAGTACAAAATCGACATCAAATGCATGCTTCCTCTCTTTTGGAGGTGGAAGAAGAAGATAATCAATTGCTACTTGATCCAGAAAGGGACCTATAAGACTTAATATCTTGTTTTTGCAGCATGAACTAATTATTCTCAATTTGAAACCGACATGATAGAGACTGAACAAGTCTTTGAAAGAAAAGGACCTCTTATCAAGCAATGAAAGCAGATTGATCACAACCTCAGTTGTCTCAGCACTCTCCATCTTTGACTTTGATTTTACAGCACCAATACAACTTAATTTGTGGTAATGAAACAAAAACTTAGAGACTAGAGCATGATCAAAATCATGAGAAATCATTGACCTTACTATCTTGTCAATCAAATCAACCTTCAAGAATAGAAGATGTTCGAACCACCAAGAAGGCCCAGAGCAGTTATTTCTCCAGCTGTTGTTACTGCTAGTTTCACATGAAAACTGGGAACTAGATCTATTAGAAGAACATGTATATGGGCTTGAAGTGCTTGGCAAAATCACAAGCCTCTCTATAAGGTGATCTACAATTCTGTCCAGAATTGTGAAGTAACTTTTTGAAGAAATTGAGTACTCTTGGCACTGTCTTAATGCTTCAAGGAGCTCAAACCAAGTCCATAAATGAATCCCTTCTTCAAGGAAATTTTCGATTTGGGATATCACATTTGATGTTCCAGAAGGACCATCACAGTGCATTTCCATGAAATGAGCAGCACAATAAAGCAGGACTATGTTGGAAGGTGTAATCACCATTTTTGTGCCACTGTAGCAAAACCGTACAATGAGCTCAAAACCATGTGCTCCTCCTGGAAAGTCATTGAAGATAACTTTAAGGACTTCATTTTTACCCATGAAATTACCAAATAAGTTGCTACATAAACTGGAGAAGGAAGAAAGAATATTCTGCAAAGTGTTTCATATGAAGGTTAGATAGCCAGAAAAAGCACTCTACCAGCAAAAAACAAAAAACAAAAAAAACAAAAAACAGAGTTTCTGTAACAAAGAAAGCAAGAAGAGCTTCAGAGTGTTAAAGAAACATGTGGCAGATAGCTTACTTCAACGGAATATTGAAATTAGCAATAAAACCATATCAAGAAAGAAGCAATCTAAGCAATCTTAAACTCTCTTCACCATAGAAATAGGTGCAAACAGGAAAAACAAATTCATCAAAATGGCTGTGCCAACAGATCTCACTGTCTAAAATACTAACTTCGATGAGATTCATTGGTTTTGTAATCTGTACACCTATTTCAGATGCAATGAACGTACCTAAGAATTTCTTCTGCAAGAAGACCTTGACAAAAAGGAACTAATAAGACTAACAAACTTTGGGTGGTCGTCAAGTTAGAAAGAAGAACAAGCAAGCAACGACAGTCAATTTCAGTAATCAATGTTGAAACTAAGTGAGAAAATGAACTATTTCATTAACTCGGAGAAAAGAACAAACACCCACAAGGCATTCTATTCAAGAAACGATGATGTCCATGAAAAAACAGAAGAATAATCACCTTGTTCACCATGAAAGTTGCTTCACCGTTGACGTCTACTTCGAGGTCGCAGCAAGCTCCCATTGGTTACAATAGCACGAATGAGGCTATAGAAGCATGAAATCAGAATCAGAACTGAGAAGAAAAGAAGGCTTTGAAGCTTCGAAGAAAGTCTGTGACATGTGAATGACCGAACCAGAAGAGGAAAGTGGAGATATACAAGAAAAAGGGGTCATCAATTACGAACGGAGCATGAGGAGAATGATGGAACTAGAAAGGTGAGTTTTTGGTCAGTCAACAAAATAAGCGTGATAGTTTCTAAAGAAAGAGAGAATTGCGGGTAATAAAACTAACATGGGATTTGCATTTTTTTCAAATAAGATTGAAACACCAAAAAAAAAAATATTTATTTGAAAGAATTAATTTCATAAATGTCATAAAGCCAATAGTAGAATTCACACACACACACACAGTGGATAAGTAAATGATAAATTTTGTTTTTATGAATATAAGTTTTATATGTGAGCATCAAGCTTTCTAAGATATTTAATAGATAGATAAAAGCTAAATTAATAAAAATAAAGTGTCATGTTAATTAGTCCATAAAAATATTGATATTGTCAATTTTTTGGCAATACTATTCCTATAATCATCAATTTTATATTTCAAAGGCTAGATTAATCATACCAATTGAAAATTTAAAACATCATATGTGTTAATTATGTCCTGCACTACTATGTGTCAAAGATATAGTTGATTCATTTTAAGACAGGTTTATGCCTCTCTGTTTTTCACTATACAATATTTCTCTTTTAAATATCCAGCACTTATTGAAATAAAGTTAAATTAGAATCAATTTGCTCTTACTAGTTAAAAAGAATAGACTGTTTTTATTAATTAAAATTGGATCTAATAATAGGGATTAATCATTCACCACGCCATGAACTAATACTCAAATTTCACTGAAAAATGCCTATAATTTGTACCTAATATGTCTTAAAATTTCTTTCAATATGAAGACATAAATGTACAACCGATAAAAACAAAAGAATGGACTACTTTTTGCAATGCAATGAATATTTAGAATTAAAACTTTTTAAAAGAGAAATAGAACTTAAAGTTAAGATACTTAATAAAATAAAAAAGTATTATCTAATATAAAATTTGTAGTAGATAATGTAAAGTTGTACTCCTTATAGTTCTATTTACAAAGTAAAGAGAGAAAATTTTTTTATCCTATTTATAAGTTTCGTCATTAAATTTTTACCTGATTGCTCTCGTAAGTGTACGAGGTCATGGTAATAAATTACCTAGAGTATTTCAGGTGTCAAACCCACAGAGAAGTTACACTTTTACTAATTTAAACAATTAATAGTTTAAAAAAATAGATAAAATGGATAAATTTGATAAAAATATAAGAAATAAAAATAAATCAAGAAAATAATGATGATAAAAATGCAATCACTTGAAGCGTTGGGGTTTGGGATTCACCCTATAGGTTGTTAGTTTCTATCCTTTGAGTTGACTCGGATCAATTATAGTGACAATTATTCCTAAAGTGTCCTAAGATTCTCCCAAATTATTAGTCCCTTTTTAATTAGAGTTGAATTCATTTCCACGATACTTAAGCAAATAATTAAACCGTGAAGCTATAGTTTAAGTCACCATAAATTTCTAGAACTATCCCTAACCTAGTTATTTATATTTATTTCTTTAAATCTAGGTTCTCTCTTCACATCCCAATCCATCAAGATTATCCATAGATTTGATTAAATGGTGGCCAGTTATTAAATCAGTATAAAGAACAAGAGAAATAAATATAATTAGAAAAAAATAAAAATATTCATAAATATAAATGCAAAGAGTCAAAATAAAGGAAATAGAAAACTAATTCCTTAATTGGGCTTCATCCTTATCCCAATTGGGTAATTTAGAAATACATAATAAAATTAAATAAAACCGTTCTAAAATCCTCAATTATGAAAAATGATCACAGAGAAAATTAAGGAGTAGAAAAGAAATAATTATAATTTATGAAACCCCTCAATGATATCACTTTCAGCCTTCAAAATGCTTCTACGAGCTTCAAATATCTTAGAGAGAATTGTTAAAGTACTTAAATAAGTGATTGGATGATTTCTCTCTTGATGGAGGGAGTATTTATAGTTAAAGTGAAGGCTTCTTCTTTTTTTCTTATCGACGTGAGACTCTAATATATATATATATATATATATTTCTCTTTTCCTTCTTTCCTTCTATTTGGTTTATTCTTTTTTTTTTGTAAAATATAAAGATAAAAAGATATGAGTGAATTTTATATTAAAATCCTTTTTTATCTTATAATTAAGTGATGATAAAAAAATGTATAAATATCAATTAAATAGATATGAAATCTTAATAAATATAATCAAATTCAAACTAAAATCTATACCTATTTAATTATAATATATGCACTTATCATTACTATAATTTTTTTTACCTTCCATTGAATGTTGGAGAGAGAAAGAGAAAATATATTATTGAAGTGTATATAGTTAATAGGGGTAAAGTTAAAAACTTATTAAATTTTAAAACAGAATTAATGAATTTTAAAATTTTTTTTGATATTGATAAAACATGTTAGAAGTGATTTATAAATAGGACTAGGAAAATATTATTGACAAATAATATAGTGCAATTTAGTTCATTTTTATATTTTGTTTGTTGCATGGGAAACATGATTTTATATAATAAACTTTTTAATGAATGGATTATATCATTTATAAGTTGTGCATCATTTCTTAGATTTATTTTATTGAAATTCACAGGCAAGAGGTGCATAGAAACAATAAAATGTTAAATTCCTAGAAATAGTTGTTTGCATTACTAATTAATTTATTAATAATTTTCCATTGTTCGACAGAAAGTAATTTATTAATGAAATATTAATTCAACTCTCGCCCTAGCCCGGCGTTGGAAAACAACCCCTAGAAAAATAGAATAGAAAAAGAAAAGAAAAGGCAAATGTGAAAGTTAAGGAAAGAGCGGAGAGACTAAACCTGAAAGTGTGAACCAATATTTTGAGAACCAGAATCAACCGAAATAGTTGGATTAGTTGAACTGTCACGTGGTGAAGAAAATGGTTTAATTAAATTAGTAGTTAGCTTGGGTTAACTCACTATAACCTGAAAAACTTGGCAAAAATTCAGAATCTAAAATAGTTGAAATTTTTTTTCTTTTTACTCTTATTTTAATAATAAAATGTTTATTCAATTTAACCATATTAATGTCAACTTACTTATTTCCTTTAACAGAACAAATAAGGTAAATTATATATATGTATGAAAAAAAAAAAATTAAAATTTAATATGTGACTAAATAACTTTCAATCGGGAATGATATTGTAAATATTTGGATTATTTTTATATATGTGTATAAATATTATTTTATTTAATTATTACATCATTAATTTGATGACTAATTTAACCATAAAAACATAAAAATTATGACTCATTAATTTTTCTAGTTTATTATTTGGATTGGTTTTTAAAATAAAGAGAATTATTTTAAAATCTCACTCAGTATCATTAATTACTTCCAAATTTATTAATAATTAAATTTGAAAAAATGACAACATAATATATGTAATTAATTGTTTTAAACGGGATTTGTGTATACTTTTCTTGTAAAATATTGGTGGGAACAGAGTCCAGCAAATCCGAGATGCGCAAAGCTCAAAATGGGATTAGGCTTAACTGAATTACCTTTTTCCCGTTACTCATGCCGCCATTTTCTACTGCTCCTTTTCCAACTTGTTTGACTCCTCATTCCACGCTTTAACGTAAACAATCCCAATAAAAATGAAAATGAATAAGTTTGTTTCTAAAAAGAAACATAATTAAATAAATTTAAAAAATAAAAGTAAAAAATGATGATTAAAGAGGATAATTCAACACATTTATAAAGTGAGAGGTAATTAATTTATAAAATTAAGAATTATAATTCATGAGATTTTTTGTAGAAAGGAATTATTTTCATATTTATAATATATATTAATGAATTTTATCATACATGTTATGATAAAAAGGGTGATTTAGTTTATATTTATTTGAATTTTTTCAATCCATTTCATTCCATTAATCTTAAGTCTCGTTTGGTTATTAAAAAAGAATGAATAAAATGTATTAAAAAATAAAAAAAATATGATCAAAAAGAATAGATGACCATATTCATAAGCTAAATGAATAATTTAATTCATAAAATTGAAAATTATATTTTATGAGATTTCTGAAGAATGTGATGATTCCTATATTTATAGTATATATTGGTGAACTTTATTATATTTATCATACTAAGAAAATGTAATTTAGTATATTTTTATTTTAATTTTTTTAATCAATTTTATTTTATTTTTTTAATAATCAAATGAGACTTTAGAGTAATCATGCAAAAAAATTTTCGAGGAAGAAATTCATAATAGAAAATGGATGAGATGAAACTAATACAAACGAAATTCAATAAATTTAAAACTTTACCGCAGAAATTTAGATTTAAAGAAATTAAAATGTGTGAGAAAATGATTGAAATAATTTTTTTAAGTTAAAAGATTTACTTTACATGTTAAGTGAAGTAGCCCAAAATGTAAACACTCATCGAGAATCTCTTATAATTTCAGTTGAAGAAAAGTAAAAGTTTTAAGATGACCTTTATGATAAAAAAAAAAAAGAGAGAGAGAGAGAGAGAAGTAAATTGGTATCTTTGTGGACATGTGCTGGCGACTCGTGAAAATTGCAATGGGAAGTGATGATATCATTTTCCAGAACATTCGTGATGAAATCAAAAAATTGGTGGAAACATAATTTGTGTCTCTAAACTTTATTAATTTTTATAATGATAAATTGATCAATTTTATTTTTAACATAAATTTCAATTAGAGAAAACATTTTAAAATGTTTAACTTAACAGAATATTCTCAATTTTTTATTTTTATATTTCTAAATTAATTTTTAATATAAAATGATAAATGGCAGTGAACAAATCGGGGAAAAGAGATGACCGAAAAAAAAAAGGGGAGAAAGGAGAGAAATGGCCTCGCCGAAGAGCAAGAAGAATCATTGAAGGTCCCAAAAAAAAAAAAAAAAAAGCTGAGAAGCACGAGCGAAGAACAACTGAGAGCACAAGCTGAAGAGCAGGGCCGCCACAGGTGATCTTACCCTTCCTGTCGGCCACCTTCTTCGTGCTGTTCCGTTTAATCGCAGAAAGTTAAAGGTGTGGATGGTTCCGATTCTTATTCTTTCTGGTTAAT